TTTTTTTTTTTTTCTCTTTGTCTTTTTTGAGTTGTTGAATATCCACCTACTCTTGTGTTTTCGCAATCTGTTCTCAGGTTAATTTTCGACATATGGAAGTTGAATTTGTCACCGAGGAAACATCCGATGATGAAAACTTCGGTTTTGATGATGGCAGTGAGGTAAGCGTTCATTTCTAATAAGTAATATGTTCTCTAGTTTTTAACTAGTTTGATTTGTGTTGCTCTTTATTGCATTATCGAAAATTTAGATTGTGGGCAGCCGAGTGCAGTTGCCATTTGTGTGGTGGGATAAGGGGGTGGTTGAATTTCAGTTTTTGGGTCACCCCCTTTGGTTTGTTCTATTGGTTTGAGGACACGTGAAAAAAAAAAAAAAAAAATTGCCTAGTAATGTGTTAGCGCTTGCAGGATTACCTAAATTTCGATGGAGAACGATGTGGGATTTGTATGGACGTTGTGATCGACAGGGGCGTGCTCGATTGCTGCCAGCACTGGTATGTTGATTCTTATGCTGTTTGAATTTTTGGGTTTTTTGTGCTTATGATGTCAATCTTCTTTGCCACCTACATTTGTTGCGAATCTAGCTTGAAACTTTCTACTTTTTGTCTGTTCTTTTCTTTTTTTTTTTCTTTTTTAAGTGTGTGTGTAAAAGCTTTACTGTGGAGTCTGAGCAATCCTTATTCGAAAGTATTTAATTGCTTGTAAAAAGCGGACGAGTCAACTGCTCCGTAATGTAATATCTTATGGGAGTGAGATCTGAACCATTTTCCATTTAATGTATTTGACAACCAAAGAAAGCAGTTCCTCATAGAATGTGACCTGCACATTGTTATATATGATGTCTGTTAATGCTGCATTCTTATGGCAGATGTTTATACAGTGGTAGTTACTAGTTAGACTTCTTCATTTCTGAGTGATTCTGGCTTTGTGTTCACCCCCTCTACAATTTTGAATGAATCTTTTTCTAAGGCAGGTCTATGCTTATAGCTCTTGATATAAGTGAAAGTGAGATAAAATTGGGAAATTCTCTATATATTAAGCTAGTGATTTATATCTCACACTTTGTTTCTGATGCTGAATGACTTGGCTTGCAACGGGTGCACACCCCTAAACAGAAACCACACACTTAGCAGAAAGTATACACTGACTGAATATTTGCACACTTGTGAAGCACTAGATGAGGTTTCTGATTTGCTAATTGCTATTATCTGTTAGTAAATGTGGTAGGATTATCTGATCAGTTTTTTTTTTTGTTTGTTTTTAATAATTTCAAAAAGTGAATTTATTAAATAAATAGTGGCGGATTAATTTTTGGTTATTATAGTTGACTCTTTGTTTACTCCGTGCTCACTTCTATTTCAGGTTCTGTTTTGATTGCATTGACAACTGGGCAACCATCACAAGCCTCTGTCCTCTTTGCCAGAATGAATTTCAACTTATTACATGTGTACCGGTGAGTAACGAAATTTGTTAGTTTTGGTCCATTTAGTAATTTTTCTTTTTCTTTTTCTTTTTCTTTTTCCTTCTCTGTCGTTGCTTTATCTGGTTTATATATTAGTTTTGCTTTAGCAACTATCGATGCAAAATTCGCTTTGCTTTCTTCTGACATTTGCTTCCCCTTTATTAAATGCTGTTTGCTCGACGCTTATATGTTTTTATTTTGAATTTTTTCGTCATAAGTGAATTTTGATCTTTTATAAACGATCAATGAAGGTGTATGATACAGTCGGTGGCAACAAGACTGACGATGAAACAAGTCCAAGGTACACTTATTTTGTTATTATCCAGTAGCTCTTAGTCTATGTGGTATGAACTTTGTATACCATCTTTCCTATTTTCATCTAACATGGATTCAGGGATGAAGCCTGAAGGATGCATAGATTTTTTCTGTTCGTGTTTAGAGATAAGATGGATGACTTTATGTTAGTGTGAACCTTGATGAATTGGGAGGACGGATACAGGGTTTTGATCAGTTGTCTTTTTTGATATTTCAACTTTCAATTAAAATGGCTTACTATTAGGATTGGAAGTATAGTGTTGATATTTATCTATAGTCCATTTACCACTCTCTGTACCGAATTTGTTCTGTTTATCCTATCATCTTGATGAAATCCATGTTTATTTTTATCAAAAAGGAAAGATTGGATATATTACAGGCCGAATGATGTAATTGGAATTGAGATAGTCAATATATTTGTAGAAGGTTGAATTTCAATTTCTATGCAATGGTTCTTTTAGTGATGTTTCAAAACTTTTACTTTTGTACTTTGTTCTTTCTGCAGAGGGTCATTAGAACTTTCTTTATTTGTTGCAGAGATGATGACTGGTTCATTGAAGGGAAAAGTAACAATGTTTCTTTTCCTTCATACTATATCGATGAGAATGTAAGTTGATGGTATGCGTGTGAAATTTTCTTTTGTTTTCTTCGGTCTTCGTTCTATTATTCTCTATGACTTCACAACCATTTTGAAGACTATGGTGTTACTTTTGAGGATTTAAATAATGTTGCGTCTTTTAAGTTCTCTCCTATAAGTATTTGAGCTTCATTCTGTTAATATTTTGCGAAGGCTTTAATCAACATCAGTTAACTACGTGTCTTGCTTTCTTCAGTTCTGGATAAGTAGTGGAATAACTCGCCTTATCTAGTAATAGACTGTGAAAAAGATAAAATTTGGGAGAAATGATATGTAAACAGAATTAATGCATTTCGAAAACTACATAATGATCTTTAAATGGTGCCCATCTCAGTATCCTTATCAGTTTTTATTGATAGCTGATATGCCCTCTTGTAGGCAGTTGTCTGCATGGATGGAAATGGCTGCAAAATTCGTAGTGGATCGGTGTCAATTGAAGCAGATTCAGATATTGATACATCCATTGCTTGCGATTCATGTGATAAGTGGTATGTAAAAAGACATTTCTGTTCCCAATTTGTTTGTGTTCACCCTTTTTTAGGTCCTTTCCTATTTTGTTTCATCTAAAACATGAATCATAATTTACATTTTTACATTTTCCTCTCTCATTTTATTTTTGTAAATTATTCTCTGAAAAAGTTACTAGTTATATTGTTGCTATTATTGATGGTAGATGTTGCAATAGTCACACACTAAACCGACAATATATACTTCATTTAAGGACCACTTAGTACATTAATTGACGTGTATCCTTTACCTTTTCATGACATTGTGTTTGAGAATTTAGAGTGGACTTACTCGAGATTTCTGGACTTCACCATCTATATTTGGGGTTGGTCGAACTTTATGAATTGTTCTGGTAATGCATCTTCCAAACAGGTATCATGCTTTTTGTGTGGGATTTGATCCTGAAGGCAGTTGTGATAGCTCATGGCTGTGTCCAAGGTAATTAGTGTATTCTGCAAATCCAATAGTCTTGATTTTTTCATTATCGGCATATCACCGGAGTTGGTTGACTCGTTACGAGGATCATGTAAAGCTCTTTGACTGGACACTTTTCCTAGCAGATAACTTGAAATAAAAACTTTTAGAGAGAATTAATGCAGATCTCTATAGCAGCACCCCAGTCTTCTTGTTGATCAGATGTGTTTATTTATATATTTTTTCGGTCGTATATTTCTTTAAGTTTTTCACTATTGATATTTTTTACTATTTGATGCAGGTGTAATGATAAAGGTCCAAACGAGTTGGATAATGTTTCATTAAGAAAAAGCTACCTAAATAGCTTAGAAGTTGCTAACTGTGGCTTTGTAGATGGAGCATCTTTATCTGGAAGAGTATTAGTATCTGTTGCTGATGATGGTGAGACAGCTGTAGTTGTATCACTGATTGACGAAAATCAAGAATCGAGTCAATCAGCCTCGGCATTTTGTAAAGATAAAAATATGGGAAACACCTTCTTACCCAGTTCTATGTGCTCCTCTCCAAAGCCTGAAGCAGTGTCTGGTGATAAAGAGAGTGTTGAACCAAATTCATGTGAACAAGGAACAGCAGAACTGAATTTCTCACGAGATAATCATGGCAGCTCATCACATGATGATGTATTACCTGCTGAGCTGAACACAAATGCTGATGGTGTAGTTGAAGTAGCCCCGGGACATTTGAAAGAGACAATGACCGAGTCTGGTTTAGATCTTGATCTTGGTATCTCCTAGACCTTTTCTCGACCATATTAATTTGATCAAAAACCCAACTAGAGATGTTTATGTTTGTTTTCTTTCTATGTATGTGCTAAGACATGAAGGACAATCATGTAGCTGAAGATAAAGTGCCTCAGTTATCCGAACCAAATAACAGGTCACAAGATCCTAAGCCAGGTAGTGAGAGAAAAAACGATTCTTTCCAATCTGGACTTGAGAATGATAGCAATTTTACTACATGTCTATTTGCTAAATCTAGTTTGTCTGGTCTTTTATGTATGCCCTTTGAAATGGCTTCAACAGAGAAGGCGACGCCTGATGACGTTGTTGACAATATGATGGCTGATGAGAAACTGGCCATTACTGGAATTACATGTGCTAAGAGGAAGTACAGAGATAACAGGTTGTCTTAAATACATCCTTTTACAGTTACTGTGTTGATCTTGATGGTTAATGTGGTTGGCGACTCTAGATGTGCTGTATATGTAGTGTAATTGCAATTTTCCTTACAAGTAGTTGACTCGGTTTATGATTGTTGGAGTGGGAACTGCCTGTTTAAAATTTCCTCGTGACTTTAAGGTTTTGAAATGAGAAGTTCCAGATGCCCAGCCAAAATGCCTAAGAATCCATTTCGACCCGGACCTAATTTCCATAACTTTACCATTTGTATTATATAAATATAGATGATAGTTTGTGGGTTTGAACTTCCTTATATAAGAATAAGATGCAACATGCCGACTTTTGACATTTTTTTGAAAAAAAAAAAAAAAACTAAATTGTTGATTCCTGAATATGCACACTTCATTCTTCAACATGTTCATATGTTATGCATCTCATTCCTCCCAAATGCATATCCTTTAGTCTGTTGTAGATTGACATCACCTCCGTGCTTGTCATTCTCAGCTTGTTTGTTTTACTCCATGCTCAAATTTCTTGTTAAATAATCCTCGGAAGTGATGCAACATATTATTTCTAAAGTTGGACCAACCTTTCTTCCTTATTTTTTTTCCCCTTGTAGAAATGCAGAAGGCAGAACTGAAGCTAATATTGAGGTTAAGATTCCTCGAAAGAAAATGAAAGCTGAAAAGAATAGTCAGCCCATCAGTAATATCATGGATCAAACAGCTGCACTCGTTCGAGATGAGTCCACTACAATTTCCAGACAAAAACGTTTGAGGGAAAAGGAAAATGCTAGTCTTGATATAAGGGACATAGTCCAGGGATCATATCGTAAATCTCTGAAAAAACCTGGACATAGAAATTCTTCCGATACAACCTGCAAAGAAGGAGAAAGTGCCGCCGGGTTGAGGGTCAAGAAGATCGTGAGGAGAGCTGGCGATGATAAAGAATCTTCAACTCTCGTTCAAGAGCTTAGACAAAAAATCAGAGAAGCTGTCCGTAATAAATCTTCTGAAGAGCTTGTCGGGAAAAATCGTTTTGATCCGAAGCTTCTGGATGCTTTCCGGGCTGCTTTGGCTGGATCAGGTGCAGATATTAGGAAACCGCCTCTGGATGTGAGGGCAAAAAGGTCATTGTTGCAGAAGGGCAAAGTTCGTGAGAGTCTGACCAAAAAGATATACGGGGCTGGGGGAAAACGGAAACGGGCTTGGACTAGGGAATGCGAAGTCGAGTTCTGGAAGCATCGGTGCATGAAAATATCGAAGCCCGAAAAAATCCAGGCATTGAAATCGGTTCTTGATGTCCTGAGAGATAATAATCTTCAAGAAAAGAAAACGCCTGAGAATGAAGAGGAGGAGACAAAGGGTTCAATTCTGTCTAGAGTTTACTTAGCCGATACATCTGTTTTCCCTAGAAACAATGACATTAAACCTGTTGCAAACCTCAGAGCTGCTGGAGCTCCCAAGCCAAAAAAAGAAAGTAGTTTGACTGGAAATAACTCTATACCTTCGACCAGTAATCAGTCCGATGCAAATTCACTGAGGCTCTGTAGTTCATCTCAGTTGAAAGTTCTTCCTCTGGATGGTAAAGAGACAAAGAAGAGTGTTACGGAGGTCAAATCTGCATTAGGTGGTAAGAAGGTACCTTTGGATAAGGAAAAGACAACCAAATCGGACATGGCAAAGGGTGATAAAAGACAGTGGGCCTTAGAACTTTTGGCTAGAAAAACTGCAGTCCCCGGCAAGAATATGCAAGAGAAAGAAGATGACAATGCGATTCTCAAAGGGAATTTTACCTTATTGGTAAGTTGTGATGTTATTTCTTCCTGTTAAAAGTTGTCATTAAGCGAAAATGTCCCTCAATTCTATTGTCACGCAGGCTCAACTACCGAAAGAAATGCGGCCTGTTTTGGCTGCCAGTCGTCATAATAAAATCCCCGTATCAGTCAGGCAGGTAAAATTTCAGTTTACTTTTATGCCTGCTGACCTCCGTCTTTTTATGGCCTTTGTCTCAACTTTGAAAGAATTGAATAATTGTTATGCTGTCAGTATGCCTTGTAAGATATTGAGAAGAAAAGCGAAGTACTGTTGTGGGATTAGTTTAATCTGTCCTTCAAGCAGTTGGAGTATATGAAGCAATCGAGAATTGGTACAAATTTGGCATTATATTTAGGTGCTCATGCAATTGGATGAAAGCATTCGCCGTGAAATGAGAATATATGTTTAAACTTATATAGGTTACAACACTTGAGAATGAATCCGGATAGTATCTGGAATTGTAATTGTTGCACATTTTGTTATGAACTCATCATCCAAATTCCAGTGTGCCTTCTAATGCGTTCATTCAGTAATGAAAAATATCACAATGTGACGAAAGAATTAGAGTAAAACGACAACATCTAATTCCAACACTTAGAATCTGCTGGCCCTTCAGAACCCTTCTCTCTGTGGATTGGTATTATTATAAAATTTTGACATTTTTGAATTCCTTGAATTTGCACAATGTATTATCAAACAAACCTACATCAAAATTTTATGAATTCATCAACCCTCATCTTCATGTTCCATCCTGTACTTCGTCTTATATTGAAGCTCCTCTCTGTTCTGGGGCTCGAGTACTTATTAATTTTTGAATTCATAGTTTTATATATAGTTCTCTACATAAAATTAACCCATATCCATTATGCAGATTCAACTTTATCGCCTCACCGAGCACTTCCTGAAGAAAGCAAATGTGTCGGTCGTTTGCAGATCTGCCGAGACAGAGTTAGCCGTTGCGGATGCGGTTAATATCGAAAAACAAGTTGCCGACAGGTCACACAGCAAGCTCGTCTACCTCAATCTGTGCTCACAGGAATTATCACGAAGAGCAGATGATATTAACAGTAGCTCAGATGCAGCAACCGAAGAATCTAATAATAATAACAATAATAATATTGACAGTAGCCCTTTAGATTTGGGAGTTGAAGAAGCACTGAGAAGAGCTGGGCTTGTGTCGGATTCCCCTCCAACTAGTCCAAATCATCCAACAGACGATATTACCAATGATAATAATAATAATAATTACAAAGTATGTTCAGCAGATAGCAGTGATGACGAGGGACCTGAGAACGTTATCGAGGCCGAGCCTCACTCGGAACTTGATATTTACGGTGATTTCGAGTATAGTTTGGAAGATGATGACTTTATCGGTGCTGGCTCTCTTAGTACCAATTCTAAGCCACAGCCCGAGCCGCCAAAGTTGAAATTGCTGTTTTCATCGATTAAACCCGAAAAATCAGACGAGAAAGCTTTAGCGGAGTTGTCGGGCCCAGTTGAGTCTCGGAATGATGTTGGCACTGGGGGCCCGGATCTTGATAACAGTAAAGACGAGGGTCTTATTCGAAATTCTGCAGTTGATGATAGTGAGAAGGAGCTTTTGATGGCAGAATGTGAAGAGCTCTATGGACCTGATAAAGAACCACTTGTTGAAAAGTATCCATTAGCCGTATCAGATAATAAGCCATTTGATGGATTATCTGAAGAAAATGGTAGTAATAAGAGGTTGGGCCAAATCCAATCACCTTCCAATATTAAGGATAAGAACAATGCGGTGAAGAAGGATAGGACAGCAAAAGCCGACACCAAGCCATTGGAAAGTAGTATGATCATGAAAAAGGTAACACTGTAATTGCAATCAATAAAAATAGAACCAGTAAACTCGGGAAAATAATTCTGTTTCTTTTATTATTGACTAAAATTTTGACAGGTTGAAGCATATATTAAGGAGCACGTAAGACCCCTTTGCAAGAGTGGTGTGATCACGGTTGAACAGTACAGGTGGGCCGTGGGAAAGACAACCGAGAAAGTTATGAAGTACCATTCGAAGGAGAAAAATGCAAATTTTCTCATCAAGGAAGGTGAGAAGGTGAAGAAACTGGCCGAACAGTATGTTGAAGCTTCCCAGCAGCTGACGAAATGTAAACCTTCTTAAGCATGAAAACATACGTAATATCTTGAATTCTCGATAAATCGGCATTGTATTAGTAATTTCATCATCATCTTAAATTTTTGCAAGGCCTTCAATGCTGTGTTTATGGTGTGCATACATACATGCATTGGTTTGCAAATAGTGAATCAAGATTGTTTGTATACATGAGTTTTGATTGTAAATTTACCTTTGCAAATGACTACTGGAAAAATTGTGCTGTGAGGGCTGCATTCTGGGCACCTTTTCAATTTTGTGTGAATAAAATCTGATACACTATTCTGTTAACACAAGCACAATGCCTTATTCTTGAATAATTTTGTTTGCAATAAAATGTGATTCAAGATATATTATTGTGTTTTTTATGAGTGTAGCATGTCAACTATAAATGGAGTAATATTGATGTCACTTAACTCTGTGCACCAGTTTAAAAGGCTAATTTTATTTTTCATTTTCCAGAAAATATAATTTATAAGTGCACATTGTCACACATGTCACAATAATAACTTCAAACAATTGTTGAGCCATAATTTAAACAAAATAATTGACATTCATTGAAATATTTAATGTAGATGTCCTTTTCATATCAACCTCAGTAAAGTTTAAAATGATTCATTTAGTTAGTGTAAATGGCACTTTATTCCTTAATCTAATCAAAATTAATGATGTGAAACTGTACATCTCATGCCAACTAAATTACTAAAATGACAGGCAAACTTGGATTGGTGAATGAGAAATGGGTAACACTTATAGATACATCAGAAATATGTGATAAGCTTAAATATCTTTAATTTTAGTTAATGTGTTTAAAAATAAAATAGTAAGTATAAAAATATGAATATTTATTAAAATGATATGATTAGGTGCTATCCCATTAATGCAAATGTTTTCGTTTTTTTTTTTTTTTTTTTTTTTTGAGGGATTAATTATGACGAAAAAATTATATCGTTCCTTTTCATTGAAGTATAAAGATCCAACTAAGAGTCATTAATATAAAAATTTAATTGTAAATGTGATATGTTTTATTATATAAAATTTTATTTTAATTAAAGTATTTATATAATAATTATTTATTTTTGGTAACCTGTCCATGTGCACAAGATCAATACTAGTTATGAGTAAGTTGGAACTCAATAATTAACTAGAAGTTTTATCAATTTATTCAAAAAAAAAATTATAAATTTCAACACTTTAAAAAAAAAAGTTATAGCATTAGGATGTTAGGAAGTAATGATAATCATGTAATAGAAGAATTTTTGGAGAAAAATGATACTCATTTGTTTGTTTTCAGTTATAGTTGATTTTTTTTTTTTTTTTTTT